TAGAAGATCCACCCGAGCGCCCCGGATTTCACCCCCCCCCCCTTCTCTTTTCTCCCCCCAAAAAAAGTGGCTGCTACTAATGGAGCAGGCCTGAGTTTGCCGAACTGACAATTCGGTCTTGGTTGTAACTTAAACCTTGACATGCTGCTTCGTGTGGCGCCTCTTATACCTCGATTTCAACCGTCAAACTGCTCCCTTGGGTCAACTTCCCGATGATGAGCAAAGCCTGCCGATATCTACTCGGGGTACTGCACACGGGTCGTCCTGGAGTGCGTCCCGAGATTTGATACGAAGACACTTTTTCACAAGGCAATTCTGGAGCCATCCTTGTCGTTATCACTTCTATCCATTTTGCCTTTTTGCCACAACAGCTGTTTTGTCAGCTCAAGGACACCAATTTCTAAAAATGCTGTTCCATACGTGGGATCTCATCCGGGTAAGCCTCGAGCGATTCTCAGGGCTGGCTTGAGAAGGTTTGGAGGCGTCTCGCGTTTGCCTTTGGCTGTGGCAGCGATATGACATACAGTGGGAGGCAAAAGGTTATGACCAGGTCCGGTACCTGGTCATCACGCTCTATACTATAACATACTGTGGTATATTAGTGTATACCTCTCGATAGGCGAATGTATTCTGCCAAATATTCTGTCCCAGACTGTATTCATCGTATCAGCCAGTCCGCCTCTCATCATTTAACCCCCCCAAAACCTCATTCTGGAACTGACCGGCCTTATTCCATGTCAGCATCACATACCGCCCTGGTAAACTAGTACGATAATGGAAAAACCAGGGCATCTCGTGTCTCGAGGATTGCCGATTCAGCGGCCCCAACCGGAGACATGTCATTTGGGTTTGTTTAGCAACCAACACACCCTGTGCCATGGCTGACAGAAGATGATGCCTGGACAAGGACAGTGAGAATTCGCTTTCATCACGTGGATTAAGTCCATTCGCATTTGATACGACCCGGCCTGCTGCCATTCGTAGTTGGATTTCATGTTTTCTGATTTTTGCCTGGAGACATCATGAATGAATAGAGATCTGAACTGTTGTACATCGATCCTTGGTGCGCGGATCTTGCCGCAAAGACTGCCTTAATGGTGTCACAAAACGTCTCTCGAGAAGCCGATGCGGTAAACTTCCCTCTCATCAGTATCAATATCTGACTGAAGTCGGCCCGCGGGTTCTGAAAAAGGATTCAATTGAACTGACTCCTACACAGAGAGGTGTAATCGCATCGCTATGCGTCGGCACCGTCTTCGTCATGATGCGCACCGGCGCACGATGGTTCAAGAATGGTAGAATACCAGTTGAGATGGAAGACTTGTTCATGTATCTCGCATTGGTGTCATTTGCCATTACTTGCGCGCTCTACTACGCCACGATTGACACCTTCTTCAACCTCATGGCCATCACCGCCGGGGAGATGGCGCCATATGCCGGTTTGGAGCACGACGTGCGCGTCATGCTCTACGAATTCTTCACAGTCCAGTTCTTCTTCTGGCTGACGCTCTGGTCCGTCAAGTGGAGCTTGTTGTTCATGTTCAAGAGACTCACAGACGGGTTGCCTTTGTACAACAAGATTTGGTGGACGGTCCTTGTATTCTCCGTCCTGACCTTTATCGGGTGCTGCATCAGCAACTTCACCAGTTGCTCGTCCATGCATGCTTGGTTTACGGCGGGGGAATGCGCCACGGCTCGGGATTCAAGGGCAAAGGACATTAGTCTGTGGTTCAGCCTTGGCGCAGACTTGGCGACCGACTTGTTGAGTAAGTTTGACTCGGGTGTTCTCCAGCTGGACTGTGGTGAACTGACATGAAACAGTCATGGCTGTTCCAGTCCGTGTCATTTGGAACTTGAGAATCTCGGCTGTTGAGAAGATTAGTATCGGCGTCGTCTTCCTCGTCGGCATCTTTACCATGGTTACGGCCATTATCCGAAGCGTTTCATTAGAGTCAAGTGTGTCATCGGGACAAGTCAGCACAACGTGGCTCATCCTGGTACGTCGCCCCGTTGATTTCAACCGCTTGGACTTGCACAAACTGACCTTTTTCCCCGCAGTGGGCTGGGATCGAGGGAGCTGTCGGTATGTGCACACATATGAAATGACTATTTCCCGCAGAAGTCGACAACGTGGAATATACTCACAATCTTAGCTGTCATTGTTGGCTGTCTTCCGTCCTTTGCCGTTTTCATCCGCGGCCGTGTCATTGCGTCCCGCGCCCAACAGGACGGTAGTTCGAATGTGAACCCATCCGGGTATCGCTCAAATGCCAGATCAAAAGAGCCGACGGGCAGCAGCAGGCGTTCTCAGTATGACCACCAACTATGGCAGGTGCCCGATGCAGCAAGCGACAAGAGCTTGGTTGAGGGGGGTATTATGGTTACGAGAAGTTGGAGCCAGAAATGGCAGAACTCGGGGGGGAGGACGAGAGTGCACAGGGACGGGGAAATAGAACGTGAATTAGACGGCGTTGTTTGATTTTGTCAAGGATCGGAAAATTATAGGCGTTGGGATGAAATAAAATTAGGTTGCCGCCTTCATGTTGTAAGTATAGGCCAAACATGTAGTGATTCGAGCTTGGATTCGACGTCAATTACTACCATGTCCAATTACGCTTCTTCTTGACTTGGACCGATTTACATGGGAGAATAGGCGCGGCATCTGAGAAACCTGAACCAGATTGTGGGCTCATAACCCGGAGGTCGTACCATCGAAACGTACAATTGTTAATATTTTTGCGCCTCGTGGCCATAGTGACACGTGTCCTCTCTTTCTCTATTTCCTCTTCTTTTTCTACAAAACTTGGTCCGACGCAGAGGAGGGCTATGGACACTTGGGGTTGCGTTTGGGCAACGACGACTACGGTCGGATGGAAGCACCAGGGTGTAGTATTCGTCGTTTTTTTAAAAAAAATGAGTTATTGGTGCCATTTTGCGATAATAAGATTTAGATAGGTTTAAATACGGTCCAAGGACAAAAGCGGGCGTTCTTGCATTCCTTTTCTTTTCTTCTCTCTCGCAAAGCCCTTGGCTGAGCTGATACAATAAAGGTCTATGGTAGAAAGCTTACACATCAAAAAGTATACATTAATATACCATGGCATCCTACGGTTTGAAGCGCGGTGGCCAGGTACCAGGTCTGGAATACCTCAACTACCGTTGTCCAAACGTCCATTCCGGGGTCCGAAAAACTATACCAATCCGGGGACCCCCGGGGCGCCTCTGGTTCCTTGCTGATGTTTCTTCTTCGCATGACACCAACCTTCCTAGTAATTCTAGTCTCAATCGCTGGTGTTGCCACACAAAAAAAAAGACAAAAAGAAAAGTGAAAAATACCAGGCTCGATCTATAAACGCCATCTTCTCGTAAAGATGAGCAAAAATATTAGCAATTGTACGTTTCGATCGTACGACCTCCGGGTTATGAGCCCGGCGCGCTTCCACTGCGCCAAATTGCTTTCCATTTGTTGAAAATTGGTACCGTATTTTCCATTGTATAGCTTACCTATCAGCGGGTACGTGGCTTTTTGGGCCGCCCACCCAAAGAGCTGCCAACGGAGGACTCCAACCCAACATTGGCTTTACGGAGAGAATTCACCTACATGAGCTCAAAGACTGGTGGATCAGTTCTTTCTCTGGAGAAGCAACTTAGGCTCGCCTACGTCGAGCTGCCAAAGTTTCACGCTTTGGCACGCAAGGTGGCCAATCTACCCCAGGGCACTAGTTGCCAGTCCGATCAAAGCTGTCGGGCGGGCAACTCTTTGGATTCCATGAGCTTTCGAGTCTAGCATCATCTGTTTCCTTCCACCGTTTGTCAACCCCCCTCGTATTTCTTACACGCCTGGAATGCATCAGAGTACCAATAGAACACAGAGGGGAGACTGGTTTGGTGGGAGACAGCTTTCCGCCACTTTGCGTCTTCATAAGGCTGGAATCCTCCTATAGGGTAGGTAGTGTGGGAATGTACTTGTTTTCAAGGTGGTGACGCTAGAATATTAATACTGTCATATGTGGGCGTAGAGAATTATACCTGATAACTATTTGGTAATTATTTACATAAACTCCCCAGTGTATTGCAGGGCTACAGCGCAGGGTGTGATTATTCTTTCCTGAGCTAAACCGAGGAACCAGGGACTGAACATTTGGCTCGTTCCACTACACCTCAACTAATGCATTGCGGATGTCAACGTCTCTGGTGTTTTCTCCTGCCACTAAGAAAAGGTTACTGGCAGCTTGTGCATCCATCTTAGAGCAGCCGATTTTCACCATGCACTCTAGAGGTGAATTGCTCTAGAGTCTTCAATGAGAAACATGCTGAAGCTGGAAACCCAAAATGGATAAAAGCGGGTCTGCAGCACTCAACGCGTTCAACTCCTGGATGGCAGACGCGACAACTTTTCTAAAGGTGACATGAGCTCTGACCGTCACAAATGGGAACTGGCTCAGGACCATACCATTGCCAACAAGGCCATGTGCGGTGGGCCATGGCTCCGAAACTAAAGTCTGCAGAGAAGAAACAGCAGTCATTGACCTCCTTTTTCACCCCCAAAGCCGTCGATGGACCTGCTGTCCCCTCCAAGCAGCAGACCGAAGCTCGAGTAGCGGACGCTGCCGTGAACCATGACGCCGAGTCTCCTTCTCGCAAGCGACCCCTGGAGGAGAATACCGACAACGGAAATGAAGGGCCGGAGAGGTCGTCGAAAAGGCCCAGAGGTGACGAGAATGATGTCAATGGAGAGAAAAGCACATTCGTTGCCAAGCGTAAACCGACAAATGCTTCGGGTGCACCCCGGGCTGGTCGCTATCTGTACGACGACTCAAGTACCAAGCCTGCGACTGGATCGACACAAGATGACGGCGGTGAGAATGACGAAGTAAGATACAGGAATCAAGATCTACATCGACGATTTGTAAAGAAACTGGGTCATCCTGATGCCATGGCTTGGAAGTCAAGGGTGGCCCAGGATGATGGGGCCACAGGAGGCGAGGATGGCGATGCAGAAGATGCCGACGAAGACGAATCACCAGCGCCTGCAAAGGCAAAGAAGAAGGGCGCAAAGAGCGGCAAACTTACGCCCATGGAGATTCAGTTTCTGGACATCAAGAGAAAGCACCTGGATACTATTCTCATCGTCGAAGTCGGCTACAAGTTTCGGTTCTTCGGAGAGGATGCCAGAACCGCGGCAAAGGAGCTTGGCATCGTTTGCATACCTGGCAAAATGCGATATGATGAGCGTATGTATCTGGAATCATTGAAAGCCCTCGTGTGAACTTTTACCAACACCTTTGCAGATCCTTCCGAAGCGCACCTCGACCGTTTTGCCTCAGCAAGCGTCCCCGTGCACAGACTCTCTGTTCACGCAAAGCGGCTCGTAGCAGCAGGACACAAAGTGGGTGTTGTTCGACAAATAGAAACAGCTGCCCTGAAAAAAGCAGGCGACAATCGCAACACCCCATTCATTCGAAAGCTGACAAATGTCTACACAAAAGGGACATATATTGACGAAGTCGGCGAGCTGGACCAACAAGCTGAAGGAGCGCCAGCCGGCGGCTATTTGCTTTGCATAACAGAGACGAAATCCAAAGGAAGCGGAACCGATGAAAAAGTAGACGTCGGCATACTAGCAGTCCAACCCGCAACTGGCGACATCATCTACGACAACTTCGAAGATGGTTTCATGAGAAGCGAGATCGAAACGAGGCTGCTGCACATCTCACCCTGCGAGTTCCTCATAGTGGGTGACCTCACCAGGGGAACCGACAAACTGGTTCAGCACCTGTCAGGAAGCAGCACCAATGTCTTTGGAGACCGAAGTCGAGTAGAGCGGGTGCCTCGGCCACCCACAATGGCGGCAGAAGCGTACTCGCATGTCACGCAATTCTATGCCGACAAGCTCAAGGACACGTCACAAAACGAGACCGCCAGTGCCTTACTTGACAAGGTGCTCAAGCTTCCCGAGCCAGTCACAATATGCTTATCAGCCATGATCAACCACCTCAAGGAGTACGGGCTGGAACACATTTTTGATCTTACCAAGTATTTCCAGAGCTTCACTACCCGGTCCCACATGCTCGTCAACGGCACCACCCTCGAGAGTCTCGAGGTCTACCGCAACTCCACGGACCACGCAGAACGAGGCAGTCTCTTCTGGGCTCTAGACAAGACCCTCACCCGCTTCGGGCAGCGTCTTCTCCGAAAATGGGTCGGCCGTCCCCTGCTAGACCAAGACCGTCTCGAGGAGAGACTAGCTGCCGTTGAGGAACTTCTCAACAAGCAATCCACAGCGCCAGTCGACGATCTTGAGAAACTCCTCGCCACAACCAAGATAGACCTCGAGCGCAGTCTCATTCGCATCTACTACGGCAAATGCACGCGTCCCGAACTCCTCTCAGTCCTCCAAACCCTCCAAAAGATTGCCACGCACTACTCCTCCATCAAGTCACCCTCCAGCAACCCCTTTTCGTCTCCTCTCCTCGCGACCTCCATCAATGCACTTCCCCAAATTCTCAACACAGTCGTGTCCTACCTCGAGAGAATCAACCTCGAAGCCGCTCGCAAGGACGACAAATACGCCTTCTTCCGAGAAGAGTACCAAACCGAAGATATTCAAGACCAGCAGATGGGCATTGCACACGTAGAGCATGAACTGGGCGAACATCTCAAAGTGGCCGCGGCGAAGCTGAAAAAGAAAAAGGTCGATTATGTGACAGTGGCAGGCATAGAATTCCTCATTGAAGTCCCCAATAGTGACATCAAAAATGTCCCTGCATCGTGGAGCAAAATCTCGGGCACCAAGAAGGTATCTCGCTTCCACACCCCCGAAGTAATGCGCATGATTAGCGAGCGAGATCAACACCGCGAAGCCCTCGCCGCCGCTTGCGACAAGGCATTCAAGAATTTACTCGCGGAGATATCATCCGACTACCAGCCACTTCGTGATGCCGTTTCATCACTCGCGTCACTCGATTGTCTCCTTTCCTTATCCAAGGTCGCCGCTCAGCCAGGATACCATAGACCAACCTTCTTACCATCCTCATCCGAACCTACAGTGGCCATTACTCAGGGTCGGCATCCCATTGCAGAACATACCATTGAAACAGGCTACATCCCATTCAGCACCACCCTCGCCCACCCCTCGCCCCTGGCACACCTCATCACAGGTCCCAACATGGGCGGCAAATCATCCTACGTCCGCGCCCTCGCCCTCATCGTGCTCCTCGCACAGATCGGATCCTTCGTCCCTGCAGATGCCATCTCCCTCACGCTCTGTGATGCAATTCACACTCGTACCGGCGCAAGGGATAACCTCTTTGCGGGGGAATCTACCTTCATGGTGGAAGTATCTGAAACAGCAAGAATACTACGGTCTGCCACTCCACGGAGCCTAGTTATTTTCGACGAGCTTGGTCGCGGGACCAGTACACATGATGGTGCCGCCATTGCTCAAGCAGTTTTGGAGCATGTAGCAACTGAGACGCGTTGCCTCACGCTATTCATCACGCATTACCAAAACCTAGCTAGAGTGGTGGAAGGCCTGCCCGGTGTCAGTAACCTTCACATGAAGTTTAAAGCTGGCAAAGGGCCCGATGGTGATGAGGAGATTACTTTTCTCTATGAAGTGGGCGAAGGGGTTGCACATCGATCGTACGGGTTGAATGTTGCGCGTCTTGCGCGGATCCCCAAAAAGGTCATTGATGTGGCTGCCAATAAATCTGGTGAGATGGAACTGGATATGAGGATGCGGCGTCTTAGAGGAGCCAGCCGAATGCTAGCTGAAGTAGTGAGTGATGGACCAGATCAGCTAGAGCATTTGATTGCGAGTATTGAGCAGTTGTGAGGCATCACTGTGCGTGCAGATATCGGAACTTGCAAGGCGGTTGCGGTATATAATTGTGAGCTATCCCGTCTTTTGACCTATATATGCCCTTGGAGAAGGTGCGTCAATAGTAGTATCGAGACCATAGAACTCCTAATGAAAGACAAGTGATGCATCACTTGAGTGCAGACATTACCATATATCTCCCAATTCAAGAGGTGTGCCCTCCTAGACTGTGCTTATACTTTATTTCCGCCGTCCAGCCTTTGACATATCGATATGATGCGTATTAACCTCATGCAGTAACCCAGAAATTGACGTGGTATCGAGATTGGATAAGGAATTGAAAAGAGCGACGACACCAGAGGACTTCAGACTTCATTCAGTGCGGAGACACCGTATAAGCTGCTAAGATAGTATGAATGCCGCTGTTGATATGGATGGATGCCCCATAATGAATTGGTGAGCGTCCCGTGCATTAATTTTCGCCGCTTTATATAACAGTGCATTTCTGGAGAAGACCAGTAAAAACCCAAGAACCGAAATGTTTGTCCATCATGCCGTAAAATTGATGATCGTCCCAATTTCATTCATAAGATAATGATGCTGAAGACATTGGTGATGCGTATTCGTGCGGCGCTCACAAGTCCAACGTCTCAGTACTCGCCCATACTTCATTTTCTGTGAAGCTACGTTGCTTACACTCTCCGGTTGATGCATTGGCCATCATATCGCTGTAATGGCTCTCCATTTTGATGCTGCAACTCGTGGTGGCGTGGTCCTCTTGGTTGTTAGCTGCTGCTTGATTGTAATCGCTGCTGCGGCTTATTGGTTGTATATTGAAAGAAGAGAGTGTTTGAGATGGTCCTATCGTACTGTATGAACCGAAAATGGGCCGGTCCTGAGCGAAAAGCGGATTTGATTCAGAGATATGGAGGTATTGCGGGTTCCCGGTCCCATTAACCATTTCTCCATGTCCAGGGCTTTGATGCCGTTCGGGTTTTGGTTGCAAGAGACTGTTCGAATTGAAGCGAAACATGTAGTTGCCTGAACTACCGACATTATTACAAGATAAAAATGGCAGCCTGGAGGAATAGTTGTATATCGAGGGGTCGTTCATAGTAAAAGATGTGGCTTCGGGTTGGCCAACCGAAACTACAGAATGTTGGTAAATGGCAAGTAACTGAAAAAAAAAAAAAAAGAAAAAAAAAAGGAAAAAAAGAAAAAAGAATGCCGGCCGTCATGGACGATCCGACCGGCCCCACCATCTACCGGGTAT